AGCCAAATGCTCCTGGGCTGGGTTAGGAGTCTTGCCTCCACTTATCTTGTCATATGAGAGTTCATAAACCCCAGCTCCTGGAGTCATGTGATGACATGAGACTTAGTGTTCACCAAGTACGTCTTTAGTCCTCATGGTTGTGCAGAAAAGCTTGTAAATGTGAAATAAGCCTTCCCCACAAGCTCAGAAGCCAGAAGACAAAACTGAAGACACTTTTATGAAAGTTCATTATTTCAGCTAGTTTTATGATCATTTGGAGCTTGAATCCTGTAGGTTTTGAAAGATTGGAGCAGGCAATGCCAGACTTAATGTCCAGGCTGCCCTAGACTTAGTCAAGCCAGCTCTTTCCAACAGTACTAAAATTCAAACAAATGCCAAAGAGAACACCCCTGCCTGCCCCCCCTCCATAAATAGGGCCCAGCAGCCCTACAGAATAACTTGGATAAAGGACTTCAGTTTGCCCACATGGAAAAATTATGAGGAAAAAGGTTTACTTATTTGTTGTTTTGCTCCCTCTGCTCATTAAAGATTACAGTACCAATTATTCTGAGGGATCCCAATTTCCAGGGTATGACAAGTTGTTTTCCTCAAGCAACTAGCTCTCAAAGCTTCTGTGCTTTTTTCCCGTCCTGTTTAGCAGTACAAGCAGGTGAGAGTGATTGTGGCTCTCAGGTAGAAACATTTTCCCTTAAAATGGATGGTGTTTGGTAGACAAGGTCATGTCAGATGCAGCTGTGCAATACCTGCCCAAGTGACACACGCTGTAATAACAAACTTACCCAAGAGAGAGATTACAAAAGAATCAAAAGCTTGTCTGAGCCTCATGATCCATTACAAGGAAGACGCACACCACTTTCTGCAAGTAGTTGAACAAGGGGAGGATAAGACTAACATCACATCTGGCCACTTTTGATTCTTCATCTGAATGAGTAGGCAGTTGTTCACAGCTAGGGCAATAGAGGGAAGCCTCTAGTCCATCTCAAACTCATGAACTGTCTTTTTGTGATCTCTTCACCTAAGATGAAGTCTACCTATCCACATGAAATTCAAGTAATTAAGCTTTACAGTGGTAAAGAGTAGCTATAGCCTCTCTTTGCTAGTTGCATGAGGTTGTGTTAGGGCAACTACAACAAAATCAGCTTGTACTTGCCACACCACACATTCTTTCTGCAATAGGGCTGGGGAATGTGTGCAGACACACCCTAGCCCAATAGTTTGCTTACCTAAAATGCATGTGATTTGGTGCATTTCAGTAATCTGAAAAGGTTTCATAGCCATACAAGCAGTTGATTTTTCTTTCTTTCAAACTCCAAGCTGCAAACTGAATTAAAACAAAACAGAAAACAAAACAAAAAAAACTTGCCTGTAAAAATGGTTTCAGCCAAACAGGTTTCTCACAATTTGGTAGTAAATGGACCTACTTTTTTTTCCAAATGGGATTAGTCCAGGTACCTTGCTAAGCATTTTAGTAATTTAAACTGGTTGTACTGCATCTATATAGTCAATTTACCCTTGCTATTGTTAACCTGAAACTAAGTGCAGTTTTAAGCCAGTGAACTGGATTCTTTCCTGTCTCATCATTTACATCTGTTCACAGTGGATGGGAAATGCCCCCCTTGCAGCTTGTTAGTGTTTGCACACATTTAAGATGACCACATGCACTGCAGCCTCACCCTCTTCTGTTCTGCAGTGCAAGTAGGACCCAATAGGATGGACGTGTCCTTTAGCTGCAGTCAGGCAGGAGGCTGAATTCCTCCTTAAATCTGGTCCGGTGTGGAGTCAAGCCCTAGAAGAGAGGAAATTGTGCTTGACAGATGCAATCATATGCAAATGGCTGTAGAAGAGGGAAAATTATCATCTACAAACATTGGGCAGAAATTCCATCTGCCGCCTCCTCAAGAAGGGCTCTTAATAAATTCTGAGACAGCAAAGTGACACACATCTTAATCAAGACTTAATCCAAGGAATTAATTCACTGCGCGTTTCTGCATAATTCCAAGAGTAATGCTAAAAGCCATGGCAATATCAGCAGCAGATGGACTCCCCCGTTCTCCATGCAAAGGTATTAAATAAAACACAGCCCCTGTCACATCACTCCGTGTACATACACATGGTGAAAAGCAACAGGGCTGTGCCCTGCTGCTGTCAAGGAGCTTATGCAGTCTGCAGACATCAAAGGCCAGGACTGCAATGAGGTGGAAGTTAGAAACAGCCAACCAGTGAACAAGTAGCTCCTGCCTCTTCTCCCTGCATAAGTGAGCAGAAGCCTTGTGACTTGAAAAAATGGGCACTGGGGCAACTGTGTCTATTCTTTAAACAGAAGCCTTACAAAGAAAGAGGAGAGTCAATTCAGAACAATGTCAAGACAAGTTTATCAGTACCTAGGAAAGCGAGGGGGGCAAGGTGTTAAGAAAAAGTGAGAACCAGGTAGCTATGTAGCAAGCATAAAGATGCCTTTAGTTTTGTGACGGATCTTAGTCATGAAATATTGAATAAGAATTATCAGAATTAATAAGGCATCCCCCCTCAACTTGCCATGTCTTATATCTTTCATTTTATAGATATTAAAGTTGGCTTTTTAAAGGTACTCATCATACCTCTGCCAATTGTATGCAGTGGGAGAGTTTCTTTTTCTCCCAGACCCCAGTTGACTTTGGCTGGGACAGAATAAAGCCAATAATACATTTTCAGAAGTGATCTATGAGACATCTCACAAGAGTTATAATCCTTTATTTCCACAGGCTAGTCCAAGCCAATAGCCCAATTAGAAGCACTGAATTTTGGATGTGTAGAGCTTTCAAAATGTATCTACATTTCACAATTGATCTAGATTTGTAATGTGCCAAAACTCTATATGCAAGCAGCCAAGACTCTGAAATCCTAACCTGGATCTCAATTTATTGCTTCAGGCCAGTCACTACTACATTTTAGCAAAGCTTTAGGCCAGTCACTACTACATTTTAGGAAAGCTTGGTTGCTGCCTGTAGAGTAGGAATAATCAGCACACACAAAGGATACTTGAAAATTTGCCGCATGTTACTCTTTATGAAATAAGCAGGTCTATGGAACACATCCTCCATGAATGCATCTATATAAAGATCAAGCACTGAGTGACAGCATGATCACTGATTAAAACCTGAGACCTTACTATGTATCCAAGGTAATTCCCCTTTCTAGCAACACATGGTAGGGCACTTAACTCTTGGGGATGGATCCAAAACTCTCTACTTTGTACTTCAGATACCCATAATCAGAATCAAAGCCTCTTTTCCTCCAATTTGACGATTCTTTATTATGCAATATCTGTAGGACATTGATGTCCCCTAGGAAAAATGTGACAGAACTGACTTCTCCAGCCTCAGGCTAAGAGGTGGAAAGGAATCTTTAGGGTTTCCATAATAGCTGAACAATGCTGACTGCACTCCAGCTTGGTTGATTTAGGCAAGGAGTGGCACAACATGGACCTTTGGGGTCCCTGGAGAGGCACCTGGGAGCCGAAGACAAAACCCAAAATGTGAATTAGTTTAGAAGTGATCTGCTATTTCATTCAAGATTGTGTAGCTCCCAAGCACCCAAAGACTTTTGTTTAATGTAGGATTCATCATGGTCATAATGAGACTAGCCCGTTGCTGAAAAAACTTCATTAATTTGCAATATTCTAGGTCAGCTTGTATTTTGATAATATTTTGGTGCATGTGTTTCTTGCCTTCCTGTTTGTAACCCTGGTTTCTGTGTACATATGCATGTGTATCTGAGCTTATGTTTATACCACTGAAAATCTCTGGTCTTGTCTTCGTCTATCTAACATTATTTATACTCGACCAGCTTGTTAAGAAGCAAAAGGGGAGGGAAAATATTGCAGGGAAAGATGGGGAGAGTTGGATGTTTGGGGAAGGTGCTAACTACATTTGGCTAGCTGCAGGGCCACTTCCTCAGATCTCCATTACACAGCCTGCTCCTGATGTTGCTATTTAAGTCTGAATGTCACCTATAAATCGGAGGCTGTATCTCTGAATGCTGCAAATAGAAGCACTGCTAGATGATCTTTGATTTATAGGGTAGCTGAGCACAGAGTTTGGTAAGAACTGCAGCCAGCCTGTCCCCTTTGAGCCAGGAAATTCAGCCTCAGCTGGGGATTTCTGCCCACAGGTTGCCTCTACTTTTCCTAGTTCCTCTATCCCTGCTCTGGGTGATGAAGAGAGGAAACAATTTTAGCTTTTCCACCCTACTGACCCTATGCCTGTTTCCACAGATTCTTCCTCCTCCTACATCACCATCCCTCATTTCTACAAAATGGATTTCAACCTGCTGACGGACTCAGAGGCTCGCAGCCCAGCTCTGTCCCTCTCCGATTCTGGGACACCCCAACATGAACACAGCTGCAAGGGGCAAGACCACAGTGGTAAGTACAGTCTCCTCTCTCTAGAGACCATTTCCTTATTTCTAACATTACTGCACAGCATTACTGCCTTTCTATGTGCACACACACAGACTTTTCTACTTCACTAGAGGGTGGGCATGGCCCCATTTCAGGTGGCAGTGCCAGGGGTCTGATAAGGAGGCTTGCTGAGCCAGTACACCAAATCTCTGTACAAAGTGACCATAAGTTCTGGTTATACAGACACTGGTCTGCTCAGAAGCCCCGATTTCTGAGCTGGGGCCACATTATGCTAAATGTTATGTAAGCATGTTATAAATCCAATGGACCTGGCAAACATCTCTCAAGTTTAACATTGATTTGGACTTAAAATCCAGACTGAGCTCTTTCTTATAAAGAGGTATCCCCCTTCTTCCATGTCCTCAGGGAACTCAGCAACTGATACATCAAGGGGCCACCATCCAGCCTTCATTAGTATCTACAGGTGGTCCAAGGCCTCCTGGAGCTGGGTATGGCTGCAACTTCCAGACAGGCAACTGGGAGGAATTAGAGCAGGTTGGAGGGACACAGACATCTTACTGGGTGGATAAGAGCTGTTTGTTTTCGATGAAAAAACTCAAGTTGGGAGCCCGAAGGCTTCAGATCTTTCCTGAGCTAGCACCTATTTTTGGCTCTGGAGAAAGGCAAGCAGAAAAAGCTGCTTTCTAGGAGATGTAAAAAGAGTGGAATGAGGATGGGGGTGAGGAGGACTAGCAAAGTAGGATAAATATGACCATCTGGTCCTACAAAGAGTGCAGGGAGGAGCAGCTGCATTCAGCCACTTTCTGATTAGTGTGCTGCATAGCTCTCCTTGGCCTTTCCTCTAGCACCATGTTGACCTGCAGAAGGTATAATACATCCTGGCTAGGGTATTGACTTCTCCCTCACTCCAGGCTTCCTCCTGATTCAG